GGCACCTAGAGGCCTATCGCCTAGCGGGAGAGATCGGCGCCGTGGACCCATACGACGTGGAGCTCGCCGAGAGGGCGTCCGCGCGCGGCGGGGGCAGGTGGGAAGGCCTGGCGTTGACGGGGGCCGGCGGCGGCGGCGGCGGCGGCAGGGACTCCGAGGACCCGCTGTCGGCGCCGAAGGTCAGGGCCCTCCGCATGCTAGCGAGCTACCTGACGGACCGCGACGCGGACCTCTCCGCCTGCGCGCTGTGCACGGCGAAGGCGCTACTCTCGAGGGGGGTGGGCGCAAACGAGCGTCTCCTGAAGGCCAGCCCGGCGGAGGTCCAGGCGCTCCTCGGCCCCTTTACCTCCAGGCTTGCCCGGATGAACACCGCCCGCATGGCGGCCCGCGTGTGGGACGGCCTGTTCGGGGACGCTCGCTCGAGCGGTAGCGATGGAGGAGCGGGCGGGGGGCGGTCGGTGTCCCCCCCCGGGTCAGCGCTCTCCGACGGGGTCTGGACGACGGCGGGGAAGACGTTCCCTCAGTGGGTCTGCGGCGTAACGTCCGCGCTCTTGCTCGAGTGCTACGCCGGGGTGACCTCTCGGTGCTTCCAGAACGCCGCTTCCAAGGGTGGCGGGAGCGACGACCAGACCTTCCCCCCGCACCCCGCGGCGGCGGCGGCGGTGGCGGCGGCGGCACCACCACAAGGGCCGCAGCTGGAGGGACGGGACGAGATGCTGGCGCTGTGCTACGCGCTGTGCCGCCGGAAGTCGGAGCTGGCGGCCTGCCTCCTCCCGGCGATAGTTTACGACCTGGTGAGGTCTCACGACGACGATGAAACGGGAAACGGCAAGGGCGGCTCCGGTGCCGCCGGAGGCGGGGGTAGCGACAACAGCAACCTGGCCGCGACGGAGCTGTCAGCGGCTTTCCGCAGGCACCTGTTCCACCTCGCCGAAGGACGGGAAGAGGGAGAAGACGGCGGCGTTAACCCGCAGGCGGCCGCGCTGGGCGTGGAGGTGCTCAACTTCCTGCGCGGCCGCCAGATCGCGGCCTTCCTCCTGCACCACCAGCAACAGGGCCGGAGAAACAGCGGTAGCAGTAGCCGCAAAGGGAAGGCGGCGGCGGCGGCGGCGGTGGCGGCGGCCGAGGAGGAAGGGGGTGGCTCCTGCCGCTGGCTCGGGTGGGCCGGGGAAGGGCGGGGGGACGACGGCGGCAGCGGGCTTCCGTTCGGGTACTACCTGGACCTCGACGCTCTCGGCGTCGCGAGGGCGGCGGCCCGGTCCGGCGCGCAGTGCTCGGCGCTGTTCTACGCGGAGGCCTGGATCGAGGGGCGGTTCGGGGAGGCCGCCGGGATAACGGCCTCGAGGTGGCGGGACCAGGGGGAGGGGAGCGGCGGCGACGGGTTGGACGGGGGCGGAGGCAGCGGGCAGCAGCAGCTCGCGGACGAAGAAGAAGAAGAAGAAGAAGAAGCGTGGGGGGGCGGGGCCGGAGCGGCGGAAGGAGGCAGGGAGAAGAGGGAGGTGGAGCGGCTGCTGCTGGAGGTGTTCTCGAGCCTGCCCGAGCCGGACAGCATCTACGGGGTGCCGGCGCCCGCGGCCGACCTCTCCGCGCAGGCGACCGTGTACGCTCACGAGGGGGGGTGGGAGAACACCCTCCCGGCGTACGACACGCTCTTGCAGAGCGGGCACCAGCGGCCGCCGTTGGCGGCGGGGGCGGGAGGAGGGGGCGGCGGCGCTGGGTCGCTGCTGCTGCCACCGGGTATCGGCCTGCAGACGGGCGTTGCCGCGTCTCTTCAGGTGCTGCACGGAGCTTTTGAGATGCTGGGGAGGGCGGTGGTAGGGCAGCTCAACGTGATTGCCTTGTATATATACGGGACAACCGCCTTTTTCAGAGTAGGTATACAACAGAGTGGACTGTTCTTTCTGTCTGTGCCAAGAGGGATTGGCCGCACGTTCTGTCGAGCAACCGTCTTTTTCGGAATATATTTTTTTCAGACTCTGCTACTCGGGGACCCCCCCCCCACTGCTGTACTATGGAGTCGGGCGCGGGGTTTGATGTTGGTTCGTTGTTGGCGGTCTCTCGGTCGGCGAATCCGGAGCAACAACGGCCCAAGACCACCCTCCCATGTCCCCTGTCTCTTGTCGCCTTCTTGTACGTCTCCTTTCACTGCGCATCCGTTTCCAACAACAACGACCTGCGAAAAAAAGCGTATGGGTCTGCGGCACGTGCTCGAGCACTATCTGCGGGGCCTCCGCGTCGGGCCTGCGTCTCTCCGCGGCCTGCCCGACCTCGACGGCGATCTGCGCGACATGCAGTTCGAGTCCGCCTGGAGGATGTCCGAGTGGGATCCGGCTCTTTCGGTGGGTGGGAGCACCAAGACTCCAAAAATATATGTCGGAAGGGTTTGCTCGGCGTTTTTTTTTTTTTTCGGACACAGACAAGACAGTACTGCGACGTGACAGTAATTTTTGTGGCGGTTGGATTTTTCCCTTTTTTTCTTTTACGGCATCTGCTGTAGTTTGGCGGTGCCGGTACAACCAACAAATGGCGACGTGACAATGATTTCCGGTAGGTAAAATTACCGAGCAAACGGCTACTGGTACAAGATTGCACCCTTTTGCTCTTCTGTGCACGGTAAGCACAATGATGCCCGATTCCGTGCGCCCGCGGGGGGGATAGTCGTCTTCGACGACCACCGACATGGATATGCGAAGCAATCCGTTTTGATGTCTGTGTTTCTGGAACGCCACACTCGCTAGGTATTCTGGAGGCAGGCGTGTTGCAGATGTTCGGTAAAGACAGGCGTGATGCTTCCCTTCTCCCGCCGCCACCCCGTTAAATCGATCCCCATCGCGTCTGCCCCCCCCCCCC